CTGATATGGACGGAGCTACAAGATATACTGCTAAGTGAAAAGGCAAGATGCTAAGTGCTGTAAACTGTGTGTGTGTGTGTGTTTCGTCGCTAAGCTGTGACTCTTTTGTGATCCCATGAACTATATAGCCCACCAGGCTCCTCTGTCCATGGGATTTCCCAGGCTAGAATACCGGAGTGGGTTGCTTGTTTCCTTCTCCAGAGTATCACACCTGCACCTCTTGCTTGGCAGGTAGATTCTTTACCACTGCACCACCTAGCAAGCTATGTATATATGAGTCCATGGTTCAAAAAAAAAAAAAAAAAAATATGGAGAAAGAAGTCTATTAGGCCATTCCAGAAGGATCCTGAGAACATCTTTGGGAGGTTTCAACCTCAGTCCTACCCTTAATCAGCAAGTGTCCTTGATTAGCTCCTTTCTTCTCTAAGTGTATCCCCCCTTCTACAAAAAAAAAAAAAGACCAAGGTTAAGTTAAGACTTCCTGGTGGGGTTACTGAGAGGATTAAAGAAGAAAATGCATAAATGCCAGGCACCTCACCCAGAATGAGTACTCAAAGATGTATTAGTTAAAATAGAAAATAATTTATCATCTGACAGGATGTGAGAAAAATTCCTTTAAAATATACTCTGTAAATAAACTGAAATTTACAAAACAGTTGTAAGAATAATACAAAGAATCCATGTATATTCTTTACCCAGTCACCAGCTGTTAACATTTGACATATTTGCACTATCCCCTCCTCATTTCTTTTCTTAAGTCACTTTATCCCTCTTTACCTTAATACATTCAGCTTGTATTTCTTAAGAAAAAAAGACATTATCTTACATAAATCAAACACAAAGATCAATTCAGGAAATTAAACATTGATACAATATTATTATCCAATCTATAAGTTGTATTCAAATCTCATCAATTGTTCCAATAATGTCATTTTTTAAAACTGTGGTTAAAAGAAAAGCACATCACATAAAATTTACCATCTTCTTTCATTCTTTTAAAATATTTTTTGGCTGTGCCATGCAGCTTGTGGGATCTTAGTTCCCCAACCAGGGACTGACCCTAGGCCCTTGGCAGTGAAAGCTTGGAGGCCTAACCACTGGAGCACCAGGAGACTCCCTTAGCCATTTCTATGTGCACAGTTGAGTAGTGTTAAGGATGTTCACATTGTTGTACCAATAATATCTTTTATAGCAATCATTTACCTCCATCCAGGGTCTTACATTGCATTTATGTAATCACTTTGTCTTTTTCAGTGTCTTTTAATATGGAAAAATTCCTGCACCTTCCTTTGCTGATGACTTTCATAACATAGGTGTTTTGAAGAGTCTAGGGTAACTGTAGTTTTGTGGCTTTTGTTACATGTTTTTATAATAAAGAAGATAATATTGAAAGTATGATGAGGATAATCACCAATGGAAACATAAAAATATCCAAAGCATTTTCCCCCTAGTTTTTGGTAGGAGGAGGATCTGGAGTTTGTTCCTTCTGTTAAAATGCAGGATCCCTGTGGTGATGGAGATGTTCTGTATCTTTGTGCCAAAGTCAGTATCCGGCTTGGGAGATTTCACTCTAGCTTTGCAAGATGAGATCTGTGCACAGAGAGAAACTCGAAAAAGAGTACAGTGGTCTCTCTCTATGATTTCTTACAAGTGTAAGTAAATCTACAATTATCTCAAAATAAAAAGTTTATTTATTTATTTATTTATTTTTAAAGATGCCTTTTGGCATATCAGAGCCTGAAGTGTCAACCATTCTCCTGGGGAGAACCTAGCCCCTTGGTGAAATTCCCAGCAGGAATCCTCTAGCCTGAGAAAGGACTTCTTAATGAACCCCTTTCACTTGCAGGGGTGGGGGTTGGGGGCCTCTTTTGCCCTCCGCGGGGACATTTTAAAGTGAATGGAGGGAGCAAGGTCCCTCATTAAGGCTGAAATGGGAGCTGCTGGGGCGGGGGTTCTCTAGAAGGAGGCTTGGCCCCAGGTCTGCATTTCCTGCTACAAAGTTATCTCATTAACAGTAATCACCACTCCTTTCTGTCTGAGTGTGTTGTTGTGAACATTGGAAAGATAATTTTTATCTATTGTCTTTGTAAGTTGCCAAATTCTTAATAAAATTTAAAAATTATAAAGACCTGAACAGGCAACCAGTGGGGATTCGTTACGAGCATCATTATATTTTCACTCAGTAGAATATTATGCCACATTTTATGATGATGTTTTTGTAGCATTTATAATTGAAACCAAGATGCTGTTGTGTGAGGTTTTGAGGTTTCTCTTAGAGGACTTGGAATTCTCAGGGCTGAGAGATGCAGGTTAGGGAAGCAGGGTCCTCTTCAGGGAAATAAGCCTGCTGCCAGGTTCTGTTCAGGCTGAAATGCTAATTTCCGGGTGTTCTCAATCATTGTCTAGTCTGTCCCTTACTTGAAAGTTTGTAAAAAAAAAAAAAAAAAGTTTATCATCCTAGCACTATTTCGAACCCTGAACATAATATCCCTTGACCTTCTAGGAATTTCTCCTCATGGAATAATCAGATGTGAAAAGTGAATGTGTACCAGCATGCTTATTGCCATGTTCTTTTTATAAGATTCAAAAATTGGAATACTATTCCTAACAAGCATTTGCTGAGCACTTACTGTAGGCCAGTTGCTGTGCTAAGTGTTTTACAAGCATTATCTCATTTCATATTTTCTAGTAGGTTCTACCATTGTCTCCATTTGTACAAATGAAAAAAGAAATGGAAGCACAAAAAGGTTAGTAATTTGCTCAAGACAACATAACTAATAAACAGAGGAGACAGATGTATAAATGATAGCAAAAACACAATGTGATAAACATGAAATCAGAAATAAAATGAGGGACACGATGTAGACAATTGGAAGTATTAATATCATACAGGTGTGTCTTTGGGGGCTTAAACTAAAGCCCAGCATGTGGTGGGCATTTTAAAACAGTGATTATTTATACCTCAAACTTGAATGTGATCATGAGTCACCTGGGGATTTAGTTTAAAATGCTGGATCAGCAGGTCGGGGTTAAGCCTGGGAATTTGCATTTCCACCACTCTCCAGGTAATGTCCTAGCTGCTGGTACAAGGACCACACTCTGAGTACCAGAGATCAAATAGCTTGGCAAAGTGGGAGAGCCCAAAATATGTAAAAACAAAACAAATCACAGAAGCCCCAGTGACCTATGAAGTAGAAAAAGACTGGAAAACAATACAATTATTGTCTCACCTACGGTATTGGGCTGCAATTTCATGTGAATGTCTTTCCCTTTATCTATTTGCTGTCACATTCAATTCCACGAATATTTATTGAGTGCCTCACAACCAGCCACTGTGAGAGCAGAAATGAAGGAAATCTAGTGGTTTCCGCAAGGTTCTTTTTTTTTTTCAAGTTAAAAATAATTTAAAGAAACATACTTAAAATGGGAGCATTTCACTGTATATAAATTACACCTGAACAAAGTTGATTTAATACTCAAAGATATGAATAAATATAAGGCCCTGACAGGGATCATTTTTAATAGGTTAAGACTATTTTAAAATTAAAATTCCTGGACGGTGAGTCAGGGGGTCTGAGCTCAGTCCCTGTCTGTCAGTAACTTGAAGGTTTACTCTCTTCCAGGTACTTCAGACTTGGACAGGTGCCCTGTATACATTCTCAAAGCACTTTGTTCCTCTTGGCATCAGTTAATAATTTCACACACACACACACACGTGTGTCTGTCTCCCAGATTACACTCTGACTTCTAGAAATCATGCACTACATCTGATTTTGTCACTGTGGAGTCCCAGCACCTGTCAGGACATGTGCCCCAGGGGTGGCACTCACTCGGATTATCTGTTGAATGAATGCATGAAGGAGTTTTGTTCATACCTTTCCAGAAGGGATTTTTTGGAAGGGTAGAGGAATGCCAGTCTTCTCCACACTCCCCTACCCAGGTTTCTAGGCACACACTCCCTACTCTCAAGTCTGGGCTAAGAGGCAGGTGAAGATGCTTTGGGGCTTTGGTGTCAGGACCTAGATTCCAAGGAGCATGCCTTTGTTTTCCCATCTGCCCAATGGGAATCAGGTAATATCTGGGACTTCAAGGGATCCTTGGGAAGAGAACATGGGGGTTACAGTGTTTCAAGGACTGCAGTGATTGTCACTGTCTCCCAACTCTCCCTTCCACCAATCTGACCACCTTCCTCTTCTGTGGGTCAGTTTTCCTCCACGCCAGAGTTTCCCCAAGTGTGGTCTTTGGGAAGCTGTTGGAAATGGAAAATTCTCAGGATCCATCCCAGGCTTTTCTAAGCAGAGCCTTTGGAGGTGGGTCCCAGCAATTGCCATTATAGCAATCCCTCCAGATGACGCTGGTGCAAGTCCAAGTTTGAGATTTTATTGCTTTGTTCTGCTCTGACCCAAGCTCTCTCTGGGACACTGGGCCTGTCTGTTCACTTTTCTATGGCCAGTGCCTGAAATCTAAGAGGAGGCATGCACTGAATATATGCTGAATGCATCATAACGATGATAATGATAGCAGCTAGCTATTGATTGGGGACCTTCAGTGTGCTTGGCTATCTTCTGAATATTTTAGGAGGGTTAGCTCATTTAAGGCGCCACCCCCGCGATCGTTTACACGGAGAGTGAAGCAAATTCCAAAGGGGCAAGCGCAGTGCACAGGGGTCATCCAGCGGCGGAAGACCCCGCTGGGAGTCCTCGTCTCAACGCTTTGCTGCTCAGGGTCCTGGCCTGGGCACAGCGATCGCTGGTATCCTGGGCTCCACCAGGGCGCCCCTGCCCCGCCCCACCCGGGGTCCGCGCGCGAGTGCGCGGCTCGGCCAGGGCGCCCCCGGGGGATCCGCCCGGGAGGAGCGCGGCGGCGGCGCCCGCGGCCGGTGGCGACGCCCGCGGCCGGTGGCGAAAGTGCGACTGCGGAAGCGCGGCCAGGGAGGCCGCGCGAAGGAGGAAGTCGGGGGAGGCGCGGGAGCCTGGGGCCTGCGGGGCCGTGCGGACGCCATGGGCCGGCTGCACTGCACACAGGACCCCGTGCCCGAGGCCGTGGGCGGCGACATGCAGCAGCTGAACCAGCTGGGCGCCCAGGTGGGCCGGACGGCCGCGGCGCGGGGCCGACGCGGTGCCCGGGGAGGGCTGGCGGGTTGGGCCGCGGTAGGCCGCGGTGCGGGGTGATCCTGTTTGGGGGAGCGGAGGGGTTCGGAGCGGGGCGGGGGGAAGTTAAGGGTCTCAGGCCAGTTTTGAGGGCCGGTCGATTAAGGGAGGCCTGAGGCCAAGCTGAAGGGTCCCAGGGAAACCTCGGCGGCCCAGAAATAGTACCAGGAGACTTCCGGGGGTCCTGGGGACGAGGAGAGTTTGAAGGATCCCGGAAGAGGGGCTGAGGGGAGTCTTGATGTGACCGAAAGGAGTTTAAAGTAATGCACTAAGGGCTTTGGGAGGCCGATGGAGTTTGGGAGAGCCGTGGAATTTGGTGGGTCAGGTGAGGGACTGAGATGTTTAGTAGGAAGACCGGGGTAGGGGGATCTTGGGGGAGACTGAGGAGGGTCTTAACATCTCAAGGGGGCAGAAGCTGCCTGGAGTGGGGCACGTCATCTGGGGATGGGATGTGGGTGTAGGTAATGGCCAAGCCAGAGTGGCTTTGTGGGCAGGCTGGTGATGACATCCTCTCCTCATCTCCACCCCCACTCCCCAGTTAAGGGAGATACTGGTAGTCCCTGGCAACCCTCTCCAGTATTCTTGCCTGGAGAATCCCCATGGACAGAGGAGCCTGGCGGGGGCTACCGTCCATGGACTCGCAAGAGTCTGACCCGGCTAAGCACAGCACAGCACTTGTGGTCCCCAAGGAAAGAACCATGTACCCTATACAGTGGAGGGCAAGTCCTTGATGGTAGTGGAGCTGTCAAAGGCTTTTTCTTACTCTTCAGGCTGCAGGTGCCAGCCAGTCAACCCTGAAGGCTTCCTGCCCCTGTGTTGTTTGGGATGTCCCTTTCCTACCACCAAGGCAGCCAAATTAAGCAAGTTAAAATGACAGGTCTCAGGATCACTGCAAAGATGCATCTATTCCCCCCCACTGCGTTGTAACTTCCCAGGAGGTGGGGCCACTCTGTCATCTCAGCATCCTCACAACTTGGTATTTTCTCATGAAGGAACACTAATTGTGATGGCAGTCATGTTCTATGGCCATGGTGTCCAAGAGAAATAAACTACAAGCCACAGGTCTACTTTTACATTTTCTAGTAGCCACATTTAAAAACTAAAAGAGGAAATGAATTTAATGTGCTTTCTTTAATCCACTATATCAAAGTATTATCATTTTCAATGTGTAACCCACATAAAAAAATAGTGATGAGATGTTTCACTTTTTTTTGGTACTAAGGTTTTTGATTCTAGTGTGTATTTTAAAGCACATCTCAAATTGGATTAGGTGTTTTTTTTTTTTTTGGATTATCCTTTTTCAGGGGCTCAATATGGTTAGTGACCATTGTACTGTATAGCACAGTTTTAAGTGCTTTTATGTGTATTAAGTCACTGAGTTCTTGCAACTACCCTAGGAGTCAGGTACTATTACCATTCCCATTTTACAGATAAGAAAAAATGGTTTAGGGAAATAATTTGACCAGTTTAAGGGCACGCAGCCCTTATCAAAGCTATTTGGGCAGTTTTTCCCCCTTTTCTTGGGTGGTCAGACTTCTTTGAGTAGCCACTCTGTTAGCTGGCTTTCATTAGCCGCTAGTCTGGCTATTTCTGTTAGCTATTACTTATTAGCTATTAGCTGTTTCTATTAGCTAGTACTTTCATTAGCCTTTTACTTGAGACCTAGGCCTCAAGGTCATTGTGTTAGTGTCGGCATCACTATTTATTGCTTATTTGATAGATATTTATCTGAATGCCTACTATGCACCAAATAGCCGCTAAACCCAGTAAAGGTTACGATGTCTTGATGAATGAGGCCTGTTGTGCTGGGAAAGTTGTGATCTGCTGTGGCAGGTCAGAAAATGGAGACATGGTACATTACTAAGTGAATCTGCATGTTTTCTATGATGCTGTGATCAGTTCTAGGTAACATGGAGCCTTGAGAGTAGGTGGGATTAAAATAATCATTTTTAGCATGGTTATCAGAGGAAATTAAGAAAAAATATAAAGAAGGAAACAAATGGTTGACAGTCTCTCACCTAGCAGCACACAAGTTTAGAAAATTCAGAGAGTACTGAAAGATACAAAGTTAAAATAAAAATGCCTATTTCTCTTGTCTCCAGAAATCATCATTTTAATAGTTTCTCATATATCTTTAAAGAAAAAAATCTGCATCTGCCATCACATTTATGGGTATCCTTTAAAAGCTTTTTTTTTTTTTACAGTAAAGGCATTTTGTGATATTCCTTGAAATGGATATAGCATAATTTAACCAGTCCCCTGCTAATAGACACTTCAGTTGCTTCCAGTTTTTTATTTTTGTTTGTTGCTGTCAACAAACTGCCTTGTTTATGTCTGAGTTTACTTTTTGGAACATCTCTGAAGGGTATGCTTCATGCAGTGGAATTACTAGGTCAAAGGGTTTGATCGTTTGACAAATTAGACATGGATTGCCAAATTGTAATCCAGAAAGTTTGCCCCAGTTTATCTTCTTGACAGTGTGCAATCACGTCTGTTACTTTCCAACCCTGGTGCCATCAGACTATTAGTTTTGAAGATCTGACAAATGAAAAAATTGTATCTCCTTTTTCTGCTGATTTGCATTTCTCATCTGGAGTAATCTTGGGCTTCTTTTCATATGTTTAACTGTTGAGAATTCGTTAAGATTTTGACTTCATGGCTAGTCCTGAGCAGGTAAGCATTCCAGGGTGAGAGAGTTATGCAGGTACAAAGGCAAAGAATGGGGAAGTGTTTAGGGAAGATTTGTTCAACAGATACTTAACTCTGCACTTACAACAATTAAGGTACCATGACCCTAAGAAGCCGGAGGAGAAACCTTCTCTGTTAAGACAGGTTTGTACTCCTTATCAAGATTGAAAATTTTAAGTGCCCCCAGGTGAGGTTCCAAGAGGGAGCCTCAGAAGTTAAGAATCTGGGTAGGTCCCTTTCTTGTTGGGAGAGTCCTGGTATCTCGGCAGGGCTTTGAAGGATAAGGAGGGTTTGGAAAAGTGGAGATAGGGGTGGGGGTTGATAACAGCCTACAGACCAGAGTAGCTTGAGGCTGCTCATGGGAGGAAAGGCAGGGATGAGTTCACACAAGGAGCTCCATCCTGAGTGTTAGGCTGAGGCCTGGAATTGAAAGAGCAGCTGGAGGCCCTCTCAGCCACCCCATTTTTTTTAAAGGCCCTAGTGGTATAGGAAACATGGTTGGCCAAAAATGTGACAGTTCCACAGATCTGTAGCAAAAAAAAAAAAAAAAAATTAAAGGAATAGAGGAAAACTCAGTTTGAGGACCCATTCTCAAACTCGTCTTGACTATTTTTGTTTTTACTCTCAACATTTGTGCAAGACTGATACCCAATATCATAAATATCATAGAAAGAAAAACCCTGGACCAGCAAGACTAGAGTGTTTCTATGGAACATCCATGGAGTTTTGAGGAAGCAGAGACTTATAAGATACCATTAGCTGGTGGGAGTGTAAATCCATGCAACTTCTTTACAAGGCAATTTGGCAATATTTTCTCAGAATTTAAAATGCACATATCTTAGAGAATAAACTAGTGGTTTCCAGTGGGGAGAGGGGAGTGGGGAGGGAGATAGGGACAGAAGGTTAAGAGACACAAACTATTATGTAAAAAATAAATAAGCGATCGTTAGGATGGGCTTCCCTGTTGGCTCAGTGGTAAAGAATCCACCTGCTAATCCAGGATATACGGGTTCAATCCCAGGGTCGGGAGAATCCCCTGGAGAAGAAAACAGCAAACCAGTCCAGTGTTCTTGCCTGGGAATTACCATGAACAGAGCAGCCTGGCAGGCTACAGTCCATGGGATTACAAAATAGTCAGACATGACTTAGCAACTAAACAACAACAATAATTATAAGGATATAATACAGGGAATATAGCCAACATTTTATAATAACTATAAATGGATATGACCTTTAAAATTTAGCAATTACGTGTTGTATACTTGAAACTGATATAATATTTTACATCAGCTATACCTCAATTTTTAAAATGTATATAAGACTTCCCAGCAGTCCAGTGGTTAAGACTGTGCTTCCACTGCAGTGGGCACAGGTTTGATCCCTGACGGGGGAACTAAGATTTCACCTGCCATATGGCATGGCATGGCCAAAAAACCAATTTTTTTAAAGCGTATCCTTTTACCTAGAATACATTTTAAGAATACATCTTATAGACACACACATACATATTTCACAAAGATGTGGGAGGATATTCATTACAGCATCGTTTACATAAGATCGGCACATACACTAATGTTCATTTCTAGGGAGCTAAATTATGCTGTCTTAACAGTTGAATGCCGTGTGGTTGTTAAAAGAACTGAGTAGATTTATATCTGCTGACATGATTGATCTCTAAAGTGTAATTGAGTGGGAAAAAAGGTGAGGTGCAGGGAGTGGGTTCAGTATGATCCCATTTATATTTAAAAGAAACTAAAGAAAAATGAAATGATGGGAAGGCCACAGGGCTGTTAGCATATTTACCTGGGGGTAGCGGGATTGAGGTGAGAGGGGGCAGGGAGAGAGTGAGACATTTTGTTTTATATATTCTTTTATGTTAGCTGGGTGGGTCTTTTTTAAAACCTCGCATGTATATTACTTTTACATTTTCAAAGACTAGTTTTATATCTTAAAATAGAATACATTTTAGAAGAAAATAATACAGAGCCTTGCCAGGGGTTTGTGTAAGGTTTATATGTCATGGGAAAAGGGGTGAATGCATTTGACAGTCATATGTACAGTTATGGAGGCTTTGAGCCACAATATCTGCCTGTTGTCCTTTTTGTTTAAATGTTAAAGGTGGATCTAATGGCATAGTGACTCTAATTGTGGCTGTGGTAACTGCTACACATACATACATACATACTAGAGGCTTGTTGAACCTCTCGTCTGACACTGTACTGGAGGCTTTGTATGAGCCAATTAGTACTGTTCTGGAAGCTATGTATTATTACCTCTGTCTTTCTGATGGCAACTGAGACACGGTGAGGCTAAATGACTTGCCCGGGGTCACCCGGATGATCAGAAGAACAGTGATTCACATCTGGGCCTTTTAAACTCTTGTGTCGTGGTTTCCTTCACTGTGCCACACACACCGTGTCCATCAAGAGAGAACATGGGAAAGGAATGGTAAATGTCTCAGTCTATGTGAGCTGCTGTGACAAAACACCACACACTGGGTGGCTTGGACAACAGAAATTTATTCCTCAAAGTTCTAGAGGCTGCAAGTCCAAGATCAGGGTGCCCACAGATTCATTTCCTAGTGAGAGCTCTCTTCCTGGCTTGCCTTCTTCATGCTGTGTCTTCATAGCGTATACCTCACAGAAAGAGCTCTGGGGTGACTTCCTCAGAACTTCCTGGTGCTTACAAGGGCACCAGCCCTACCAGATTAGGGCCCCACCATTATGACCTCTTTTAACCTTGTCACCTCTTCACAGGTGCTGTCTCCAAATACAGTAGTATTGGGGTTCAGACTTAAACCTATGAATTTTGGGGCACACAGATATTCAGTTCTTAGTAATATAGTCCTGATAAAGAGGTTCACATGCACAAAAGAATAAGTGACTGGCAACCCACTCCAGTATTCTTGCCTGGAGAGTTCCATGGACAAAGGAGCCTGGCGGGCTACAGTCCATGGAATCGCAGAGTCAGACATGACTGACTATCACTCATTAAGATAATGTACAATAACGTGTTAAAATTTGCTGTTCTGTCACGTACTCAACAAGATGTTTATTGTGGGGGAGAGAAACCCAGAAAACATGGATAGACAAAACAAGAAAATAAAAATCACCTAAAATCACACAGAAGCAACTGCTTTCAAAAGCAAGGCACCTCCAGCTAATAAAAAATAAAGAAATTTAAAAAAAAAGCAAGGCAGAGGGGCTTCCCTCTTCCCTGGTCGTCCCAGTAGTTAAGACACCATACTCCCAGTGCAGGGGGCTCACTTTCAATCCATGGTCAGAGAACTAAGATCCCACATGCAGGACGCCCCTCAAAAAAATGTAAGATAGAGAAAAAGTTTGTGTAGTATGTTACCATTTATGAGAGTGAAAATGGGAAAAATTATATATTTGGATTGATTTATGTTTGAATAATATGTGGAAGTATAAGCAAAAAGAGCGAGTGTGTATGTGCTTAGTCGCTCAGACATGTCTGACTCTTTGCGACCCTGTGGACTGTAGCTTGACAGGCTTCTCTGTCCACAGAATTTCCCAAGCAAGAATATTGGAGTGGGTTGCCATATCCTCCTCCAGAGAATCTTCTTGACCCAGGGATCGAACCCACATCTCTTATGTCTTCTGCATTGGATGGTGGATTCTTTAGCACTTGAGCCAGCTGGGCCTTACCAAACAAAAAGAGAAGAAAAAAAAAAACTATTTCAGTGATTTTCCCTTTCAGATCTTGTTTTGGGGGAGGTGTTAGAAGGTATTTGACCCCTTGAGATTTATGTGTGAACATGTGTGTGCACACTCAGTCTCTCAATATGTATCTTGTAAGCATCCCAACAAAATATAGGAGTTTTTCAGATAATCAAGTGGTATGGTTAGATGGACACTGGTGGTGGGTATTGTGAATATTTGTAACTTTTTTTTTCTTAACTGAAATATAGTTGACATAGAATATGTTAGTGTCAGGTGAACTACATACTGACTTGACATTTGCATACATTATGAAATGATCACCATGGTAAGTCTAGTAACCATCTGTCACTATGCTAACTTTTTACAATGTTATTGACCATATTCCTTATGCTGTATATTACATCCCTATGGCTAATGTCCAAACCTCTTAATCCCCTTAGCCTGTTTCATACCCCACCCCTCTCCCCTCTATGAGTCTATTTTTGTTTTATTCAGTTTTTCAGATTCTATGTATGAGATCATATGGCATTTGTCTTTCTCTGGCTTACTTCACTTAGCATAATACCCTCTAGATCCATCCATGTTGCTGCCAATGGCAAGATTTCATTCTTTTCATGGCTGAATAATATTCCATTGTTATGTATGGAGCATATCTTTATCCATTTATCTGTTGATAGACACCTAGGTTGCTTCAGTGTCTCAGCTATTGTGCCTAGTGCTGCAGTGAACATTAATGTGCTTATATCTTTTCAAATTACAAATGTTTGTAACTCTAAGATAATAAAAACTGGTATCAACATCGATGTTCTCTTCACTTCTCTTTTTTTTTAAAAGATGAATTGTTCTGTTTGGCGTTGCTGAGACTTTGCTTCCAAGCAGGATTTTCTCGAGTTGTGGTGAACGGTGGCTACTTTCTCTCGTTGCAGTTTGCAGGCTTCTCATTATGGTGGCTTGTTCTTGGGAGGACTCTTGTTCTTGAGAGGACTTCAGCAGTTGCAGCACGTAGGCTGAGTAGTTGTGGCTCCTGGGCTCGAGAGCACAGGCTCGGTAGTTGGGCATGGGCTTGGTTGCTCTGCAACATATGGGATCTTCCCAGTTCAAGGATCAAACCTGTGTCTCCTGCATTTGCAGGCAGGCTCTTTTCCGCTGAGCCACCATGGAAGCTCCCTCTTCTCTCTTAAGGGGCTGTAGTTGGATGGGACAGGGGAGCACTGATCAGGAGTCGAATTTTCTGATGTTCTGTGTTCTTCTCTTCACAGCAATTCTCAGCCCTGACTGAAGTGCTCTTCCACTTCCTAACTGAGCCAAAAGAGGTAAAGTATCTTGTGATAAGGAGAGTTCCCAAGTGTGGGTCTGCATCCTGAGGTGCTTGAAGTGAAGGCCTGGTTTGTGCTGTCCCCCGCCTGCAGGTGGAAAGATTTCTGGCTCAGCTGTCCGAATTTGCCACCACCAACCAGATCAGTCTTGGCCCCCTGAGAAGCATCGTGAAGAGCCTCCTCCTGGTTCCAAATGGTGAGTAGCCCCTCCTAGCAGCTGAGGCCAGAGACACTGTTTGAACATTCCCTCAATCCACCGAGTTGGCAAGCATGCTCTGGGCACTGAGCCAGAGCGTTTGGTAGGGAACCAGACATGGGCGGGACTGCAGTCTAGGCAGGGAAGCCAGGTAAACAGACAGCTGTGGGAGAGCATAATTGCAGTCTGCATCCCCACTTCGGCCCTCAGACTTACCTTTCCTCTACATGGTAGGTGCAAGATTGAGAGTTAAGGGTTTATAAACTTTTATAGCAATTTGACAAAGTTTCTCTCTTTTTAAGATATTTATTTATTTTTATTTATTTATTTGGCTGCCTTGGGTCCGAGTTGCAGCATTCAGGAGCTTCATTTTGGCACACACTCACTAGCTGTGGTGCACGGGCTTAGTTGCTATGTGGCACCTGGGATCTTAGTTCCCCGACAGAGGATGGAACCCTCGTTCCCTGCATTGCACCGCAGATTCTTAACCACTGAACCATCAGGGGCAGTCCCTTGACAAAGTTTCTTGAATCTACTAATTTTAAAAAATGGGGCTTGCATTTTTTTTTTTTAGTGTGGTAGAATATATGTAACATATAATTGACCATTGTAACCATTTGGAGCTTTTTTTTTCCCCCCAGAGTGTAAACATTAATCAGTACATGTTTTATGGCCAGTTTTGGATACATAAAGTTTTTTCTAGCAGGGTAGCATGCCTGCTAAACAAAAGTGAAGTTAAATGCAGCTCAACAAAAACCTGAACTAATGAGAGTCTCACAATCTTTTAATGATTTATTGGGGTAATCATGGCATAGAAATTTATCTGAATTAAAAATTTTTTTTTGATCCAGTTATTGGATGAGTCTTTAGCTCAGTTATCCTCACCCTTATCCTTGCTAAGACTTTAGTACATATTTTGTAAGAACAAGAACATTTTCTTTCATAACTGCAGTGCAGTTATCAAAAGCAGGAAGTTTACACTGATTTAACGCTTCTATCTAATCTGTGATGTGTATTCACATTTCACTAAGAGTTATTTGGGGCTTGTATTTTGTAAGCGTTTTTTCATTTCATATTTCTAGAAATTAATTTTCATTATATTGTACAAAAATATCAGTCCATGGTAGATTGAAAATTTTAAAAATAGGTTTTTTGATGCAGATAGTTTGAGAAGCGGGGTTTGCTTTAGAGCAATCAGGGAAAGATTCTAGCCAGAAGGGAGGTGATCACAAAGGTTGAACTGCAGGGTTATCTGTCGTGGCACTGTTTATCACAGAAAAATTAGAAGCAATCCAGTTACCCAGCTGTTGAAAATTGGTGTGATGTGCTGTGGTCCAGTTTTGCAGAGGAGTATGGTGGTGGTGCTTGTAGTAAAGAACCTGCCAGTCCGTGCAGGAGACGTAAGAAATACAGGTTTAATCCCTGGGTCGGCAAGATCCTCTGAAGGAGGACATGGCAGCCCACTCCAGTATTCTTGCCTGGAGAATCCCATGAACAGAGGAGCCTGGTGGGCTACAGTCCAGAGGGTCACAAAGAGTTGGACACGACTGAAGCAACGTAGCACACACGCATGGTAGTGATCAAGAATTCAGTCTGAGTTGGTAGGAACTGGGTGTGAATCCCAGTCTGACCCTTGATAAGTAGTGTGGCTTTGGTACCCAGTCTCTTTCATTCCCTAGCAATAACCCTCCCCCAGCAGTTGTTCCACTCCATCTAAGCTTGTTTTTGGTGTGTGCATGGGGTTGTTTTGAAGCTTAATTAAGAAAATATAAATAAAATGCTGAATAAATATTAATAAATAAATGTCCACCGACTCAATGGACCTGAGTTTGAGCAAGCTCCTGGAGTTGGTGATGGACAAGGAAGCCTGGCGTGCTGCAGTCCATGGGGTCGCAGAGTCAGAAATGACTGAGCAACTGAACTGAACTGAAATAAAATGCTTAGCACAGTTCCTCAGCAAAAGGTTCTTATTTTTCATGTTATGTATTAATATTAATTTTTTTAACATGGTGTTGAGAAAAATGTAATGATATGGAAAACCTTTTACAATATTCTGTTTAGTTCTGTCTGCCACAGTCCTATTTTTATGTAAAAAAAAGAAAAGTTAACTGTGGCTCTGTCTGGGTGATAAGACTGCAGGTTATTTTACTTGTTTATTTTTAGCTAAGTATTGTCTTAAAAGTTGCTAGAATTAATTTGGCAATTTAATTAAAAGTTAATTTTATTTAAAGAGAGGTGACATTTGAGCCCAGGCTTAAAGAATGAATAAATGTTGACCTGGCTGAGAGAAGGTAAAACAGCATCCCCAGTTTGCATATTTTAAAAATTAGTAATAAGCTGATCTTCCCAAGATCTTAGCCTAATGGTTATTTAAAAGTTGGGAACTTGATTTGTTTGTACCTTCTGGTATATTCTTCGTGCAGATCCTTTTCTTTGCCCTGTCTTGTGCTCCTGAGGGTTCAGGGTGTGAATTAGAAGATCCCTGAGGTTTCCAGCTGTGTAATTTTATGATCTTCTGTTTGTGAGATTCTTGCCTTCTTTGCACTCATGGGCAGTTAAAAGCATCAGAACCACAAGGCTGGATGGGAATTGCAGTCTTCTCTGGTGGCCCAGATGGTAAAGAATCCGCCTGTAATGTTGGAGACCTGGGTTGGATCCCTGGGTTGGGAAAATCCCCTGGAGAAAGGGAGAAGGGAGGCTACCCCCTCCAGTATTCTGGCCTGGAGAATTCCATGGACAGAGGAGCCTGGTGGGCTTCAGTCCGTGGGGTCACAAGAGAGTCAGACACAACTGAGTGACTTTCACTTTCACGTAACACAAGAATTAATTTTCATTGCAAACTTAAAACTGCAGAGCTCTGGACAGTCAAAAGGGAAATTTCCTTTTTACTCTCGTCCGACTCTTGTCTCTAGAAATAATCACAGTATAATTTTGGCGTGTATCCTTTTCTATTTTTATGTATACCGACAGACAGAGCCATATATATTCATGTCGTTTTGTTTTTTATCAGTGGCGATAAACCACAGAATTACTGTGCGGCTTGCATTTTTCTATACCTAGTACATCTTGGAGATTTCCCCACATCAACTTCATTCTTCTGGTGACTGCAGTGGACCTTGAACTGAATTAATCTTTTACTTAAACCATTTCCTGTTGCTGGACATTTTAGTTCTGACCCTTCACTCTTAGAAAGTGTACAGTACTGCAGTGAACATCCTTAGGGAATCTATGTATTTAGCATGTGTGAGCATTTCTGTAGAACAGGTGTCCAGCTTATAGAACCAGGAGTTTTTATCCTCTGTATTCTCATTGTCCAGCCTAGACCTGTGGGAATGAGGAAACTTGTGAGCTGTTGTGGGCGCTGACTTTTCAGAAGACCTCTGTCGGTTGTCCCTGCCTCCATTCTTTCCGGTCTTCATCATCTCTGCTCCCTGCCCCCATTCACTCCTGCCAGACTGCCTTAATTCTGCTCAGTCCTGTGCTCCAGCCCCAGTACTACCTCTGCAGAAAGTCTTCCCAAACCATCTCAATCCATGCTGACCTCCCCTTCCGCTCCACAACTGAGATAGATTCTTTTATCTGCAGCCCTTTTTGAAGCTTAATCATTTAGTCTTCTGTTGATCATTCTGTTTTGTATGTATCTATCTCATGGCCCTAACAGATAGTTCCTTGAAGTCATGGGCGGGTCTGTACTACTTTCCTAAGCCACAGTTAAAAGTAAAATGATGACATAGAACAAGAGCTTTTGATTCATGCTGGGTGACTTGAGCTGAACTTGGGAGACCCTGTGACCCTCCCAGGGGATGTTGGGTGTATCTTCTTCAAGCAGGATTGATGAGCACTGTTTATAGCAGACCGTTTTCTATAGGTCCAGAGAACACTGAGGTGTGCTGAGTTCCAGGGACAGGCTTTGCAAGCTCACTTGGATTTGAGTCTTGGACATATCACTTTAGGTAGCTATTTGGCCTTGGACAAATCAGCCTCTTGGGACCTTGGTTTCTATTTGAAAAACGGAGTAGTAAGGGCAGTTTATGGTGATGGCTTTAGGAATAAATGAGTTAGTATCCATAAAGCACCTATACCATGACTACTGAACTTTACATTGTTTATTTATTTATTTTTGGCTATGCTGGGTCTTCATTGCTGTATAAGCTTCCTCTAGCTGGGGTGAGCAGGGGCTACCCTCTAGTTGCGGCATATGGGTTTCTCATTGTCGTGGCTTCTGTGGTTGTGGAGCACAGGCTCTAGGCACACAGGCTTCAGTAGTTTCAGCACACAGGCTCAGTAGTTGTGGCTCACGGACTTAGTTGCTCCACAGCATGTGGGAACTTCCCGGACCAGGGATGAAACTAGTGTCTCGTGCACTGACAGGCAAATTCTTTACCACGGAGCCACCAGGAAAGCCCTACATTGTTTATTGATAGATCAGTTAGTTTCTCTTCTGTGCCTCGATGTCAGATCACCAGATAAAACATCCCTTCCCTTGATGGAGAGGATCTGAATTCTCTTGACTGTTTAATTCAATTCAGTTCAGTTCGGTTCATTCAGGCAGTCATGTCCAACTCTTTGCAACCCCATGGACTGCAGCACACCAGATTTCCTTGTCCATCACCAACTTCTGGAGCTTGCTCAAACTCATGTCCTTCCAGTTGGTGATATCATGCCCCAAAGCTTTTCAAGCTTTTCAGGTTCTAGAGTTGAAATCTCAGGTTTGCTGAACTCCTCAGTAGCTCTCAACAATTTCTGTTTGTTTTAGTCTTTTTTTTTTTTTTTGGTTCTCATGCAATCTGACTTTCCCCTTCCTACAGACTTCAAGAATGCTGCATTTCTTCCAGAGCATCTGCTAATCATCTGAGGTAGCTTGTAAGTCTCTTGGCCTCTTCCTCATCCCTTGGCCTGATGAGGGATTATCTTTTCAGTCCCAAAGGCTGCCATCCCAGAACAAATTCCCGACGCTTCATGCCTTGTTATGGCAGCAGCCTCTCCATTTCTGTCTCCCA